AAACGCATTGAGTACATTTTATTTACTATTTGAGTTTGTGTAAACATAACCCCCAAGACGGATCGTGTTAGTATGGTTGTATCTTAAATTTGTGCATTTGTCGCTGTTTTGTGTAGCTATAATTTGTTTATTTGTTGTTTTTCTTTTAAATGCCTCCGACGCGACGACAACAAAACAGAGACAGGAGGCGTAATCGTGATAACGACTGCAGATACAGAACAGTCAGCACCAGACCCTGGACAATCTCAACTATTAGGTTACAAATGCGCCCTAACACTACCCCAAAATGACCTTTCGTTCTCAATGGGCTCTGCCCCAGTGGCTTTGAAAGTTCCCATGTTATCCTTATGAAGAACATAATTGTTTACATTTTGATCAGCTGTATAATTTAATTGCTGTTATTTATTTTTCAGTTCAATGAAACGCATTGAGTACATTTATTTACTATTTGAGTTTGTGTAAACATAACCTCCAAGACGGATGTTAGTATGGTTGTATCTTAAATTTGTGTATTTATCGTTGTTTTTTGTCGCTATGACGGATCGTGTTAGCTTGATTGTAACTTAAATTTGTGCATTTATCGTTGTTTTGTGTAGCTATAATTTGTTTATTTGTTGTTTTTTTTTTAATGCCTCCGACGCGACGACAACGAAACATATATAGGAGGCGTAATGTGATAACGACCGCAGCTACAGAACAGAACAGAACTGACCCTGGACAATCTCAAATATTAGGTTACAAATACGCCCTAACATTACCCCAAAACGACTTTTCGTTCTCAATTGGCCCTCTATCAATGGCCTGTACAGCAAGACATTTTGAGAAGGAGAAAACTGGCCGGAATGCTTTAGGTTTATCAATAACAAAGATAAACATGGTCTGAGTTACACACCGGTAACGGTAATCTTTGAGTTGACTCTTTTAAACTCATTGTAGATATGACTGTTATTCGTTTTGAAATAACTCCTGTAATACTTTGCAATTGCTCGAATTCGAGCAACATGTACACTAGTAAGAATAATTTTGTGAACTTCCTAAATGACTTGCACACAAATGACACGAACACACAGCACAACGAAGGACACGATTTAGAAGACAGCATTCGTACACAAAGCGTCACTACAGACAATGACAACACAGCGACAGTAGACTTACAAGACAACGCCGCCATGACATCCGCACCTAATTTACAACAGCCAATAGGAGTACGAGTACAGGGAATGGTGGAACGAGAACTAGACACAGCAGAAGGACTTGACATAGAGGAGAAGAAGAACGGCGGAGATGAAGATTCGTCGTCACAACGACAGACAGACAAATCAGCTGATGTAAGTGACGTCACTATCAGAGCCACCACATCGACAACGAATGAACATACAACTGCAATCACAGACATCGCATCATTGCCTCCAACCACTGCGAGAGGAATAAATATTGATGATCCTATTCTCCAAATAATGCGAATGATTCAACAGAATAATGCGTTAATAGTTTCACAAAACGATACATTAAAATTAGAAATAAAATCTGAAATGTCAGAAATAAAATTACAAAATGATCATTTAAAATCAGAAATTCAGCGTGAGATTCAACAGTGCCAGATTTTCCTTGAAGAAAAAACCACACCCATTAAAACTAACCAAGAAAAGATGCGTAAGGAGATGGATCAGATACATATAACTCAATTTCAACATTCTAAAGAGTTCCTTACAATGAAAGAAACATTTAAATCAGAAATATATGAACGTGATACCAAAGTACGTGAAGTATAACACTATCAGTACACCCCGTATCAACCAAAACTTCAACAGGTATTTTATTCGCATAACCCTGCACAACTGCTTTTGACAGTCCATTGGAGGCAGCTGCACATGAAAGCGTGGATACTATCAAAGATGAGGCATTAAAGGTCTTACCTTGAACTTTCAACAACCCACATACCTTCATAAACTGTCCCCTTTTCTTACAACCAGAGCAAGTAGGCTAGCATCTTTGGAAGGACAGTCGTCTTGAGTAAAATGACGCCGGCCACCGCAGTAGAAAAATTTCTGTTTAAAGTTTTTCGTTACAGCAGCTGAAGTAGGAGACTCTTCAGGATCTTTATTATCATCCAGTTGACCTGGTAGTGTTGACGAAGTGTTGCAATATGTGACTTCAATTTGGTTTGAAGATCCATATGCTTCACAGCTCTTCTGCGCAGACTCAAGTGAACGTAAAATGTCCTCAGCTTCTTTTAATGCCAAGGATGGGTTTTAGCGAATTTCCCATATAGGGAATAAGCTATTACCGTAGGTAGTACACATGGTAAGACCTGGACCCGGGACCGATTTAATTTTTCATTTTGAGGTCCCTATAGGCCAAAAACACCATCCGTTCAAATTCATATATATATATATATATATTTATATATATATATATATATATATATATTTATATATATATATATATATATATATTTATATATATATTTATATATATACTAGCTGACCCGGCGAACTTCGTATCGCCTAAGTTATAGGTTTCCCCTAAGACAGACCGATGGAAAGAAAGTACCGTTACGTTTAATTTTCAAGATGATCTCGTTCGCATCGCTCAATCACGTCCTGGTTGAAGTTCGTTCGCTACGCTCACTCACCTTTGGGTTGGAGCTCGTTCGCTGCGCTCACTTGCCTTTAGGTTGGAGCTCGTTCGCTACGCTAACTCGCCTCCAGGTTAGCTCGTTCGCTACGCTAACTCGCCTCCAGGTTAGCTCGTTCGCTACGCTCACTCGCCTCCAGGTTGAAGTTCGTTCGCTACGCTCACTCACCTTTTGGTTGCAAATTAGCTGTTGTCATAAATGTAAAAGAAATAATAGTGCTGCACCCTGTTGGTAATCCTTGTAACTTTAATGCTATTGAACATCATAGAACAGAACCAACTTGTTTAATTGAAACAGCTGTTAAGATTCATTAATTCCATTTCTCATAAGGTTAACATGGGAAACTCCAGAGCCACTGGGGCGGAGCCCTTTTAAGAATTTCGAAACGGGAAATAGTTTACGTCCGATTCGCATACCTACAGAATTTACACACCAAATTTCATAACGATCGGTGAAGTCGTTCCGGAGGAGTTTGCAGACAAACACTGTGACACGAGAATTTTATATCTTAGATTAGATATATATGTGTCCGTTAGCGCGATAACTCGAGCAAAAATGATCCGATTTTGATGAAATTTGGTACAAACGTGTAAACCTATGTTTATTCGAATGAGTTCGCGATCCAGCATAATCGGACCATGGAAACGGGGGTTTATGGGGGGTTTTATGGGGTAAAAATGGGGTTTACACTTTTTACCTTCCCCTTAGCAGCAAACCTAAGCACTCGTTAAATCTAATGTTATTTAAATAGGGAATAAATATGTCTTATTTATGGTAATATTTTAGCACAAAATGTAATCAGACAAGTTGAAATTTGCTTAGTCTGCAGGTTTGCTGCGGCGGGGGTATTCTAGTAGTCTTTGTCGAATATTGGGGTTCATAATTCCACTTATAAAGGCATCTCGAACAGCTTCATCTCGATAAGTATTTCTATCTATCTATGACACGAAAATTGCAATCCTTACTTAAAAGTTTAAGCTCTTGTAGATACTTGTCTATGTTTTCTTCTTTCTTCTGCTTGCGGTTTGCTAGCATGTGTTGAACATAAATTTAATTCTTCTTAAGATTATAAATAGTTTGCAAAATTTCAACTGCTGACCTTAACGTGAAACGTTCATAAATGTAGGCCTACTCGTAGACATTGTAAAAAAGAAAATTAATCAGCACGTTAAGTTTCCTCTCTTCAACAACTTCTGAGTCAGATATAAAATTTTTAAGGGTCCTGAACCAGTGTTTGAATGCTCTACTTGCAGAAGGATTTTGAGGATTTATATCAAACCTGTCTGGTTTTAAAAGCCTTTCCATTTAGATTTTGACTATCTGTTGTTATCTGTTTGATTATCAAGTTTATTGAATTTGTTGTGAGCTGGAAAGGTAAACAAATCTATAATACAAACAAAAACTAAATAAATACATCAGCTGATTACTAAGAACAGTAATTCATAACAACATGTTTTTATTTTATCTTTTAAGTCATAACCAATATACGAGTATGCTGTTATGTTTGACCTATTTACACTATTGTTATAAATTCCAACATATCTAGGAATGGTTTACACTAGGAAAATACTTCCCAAGAAACTAAATTATAACTATAGTGATTTTTTCTGCATAATGAATACAGTTGACACCCTCTTATCCGGACACCTTTTAACTGGACATCGGTTTAACCGGACTACACTTGGCGGAAATAACATCTCTTTAACCGGACAATTTTTATCAGCTCATTGGTTTAACCGGACTAGATCGGCAGGAAGTGGACAGTACTGAAACGACTGTTCTAGTGGGAAAGATTTGAGACCAGTGATCACGTGTCTTAATACAATGCTCTCCTAAATTTAAGTTGAATATCACAGTAAACAGTTCGTTTTAACGAGTTTTTGAGGACGTCGATTTAACCGGAAAACCCATTATCCGGACTAGCCTCGGTCCCGAGGAGTCCGGATGATAGGGAGTCTACTGTATACATGATTGATGTTTGGTATTTTTAAAACTAATCGATTGATTGATTTACATACAATTTAAGTATCATTTGAATACAAAATAAAATGGATTTAAATAAACTAGTAAGGCACATTTGTACAAATCGGCCCAAGTGAGTTGCATGTAGGTTGCTGTGCAACGTCTAAAAATGGAGTATTGTTGAGAGAGTATTGTCTATAGTACCGTATCGCATTCAAATTCAATACTTGCTCTATTATTGTTTTATAATAAAGATTAAATAAACTATATGTTTGGTCTAAATGAGAATATGCAGTTTTCTGTAGAAATAGCAAAATTTACCCAGTGATCAAGTATGTGTGCAATTAACATTTGAACAAGCGTAAGCCTACATCCTTATTATCTACTGTAATTTTTTTAGGACCAAGGCAATGGAACTGTGCTGGAGTTTTCATTTTTGACCCGCTGCTACAATCGCCAACTGGAAGAATTGTTCAATAATTATAAAAAATATCCTAAACTGGCACCTGATGTCATAGTGATGAATTCCTGCCTGTGGGACTTAACCAGGTGATGTTTCAATGAATTTTATGTGTGCACTAAATAGTTTTGTCCATCATACACACATTTTTATTAAAATATTGTATGCAAGGTCCTTGACCTTTGTTGGCTACTGCAGCGATTCCCAAACTTTTTGGTCTGGTGACCCACTACCACATTGGATTTTTTTTCTCATGACTCGCTTATAAAATAATATTATTATAATATTATTTATAGCCAGTGGGCTGCGACCCATAGTTTGGGAACCACTGGGCTACTGGTATTTGTGCAAAGGTTTCTAATCAACATGATAATAGGGTTTATTTTTATCATGAGTTTAGGAGGTGTCAAACCTGAAGCTTATGAGTAAATAAATTATAATGGATGCAACTGTCCTGAGTGTTTTCTGTCTATTTGCAGGGAACCTCATCAGAACTGAGATAAACTGTTTACTGTACGGAAAAAAAATTGGTTGATTGAAGTACAATCGTTATATGGGTTTTGAATAAAATTTTTTAACATTGGGCTCATTGATTTTTGAGACGTTAACAACTTTGGAAATGGGGCTTTTGAAGTCACGGTGGCAATGTTTTGGGATTGCGATATCTGGGTTGGGGTATTTTGACAAAATTTAAAAATCACCTTTCCTATTTTAAGCAACCCCTCAATTTACTGTTAAGTTAAGGTTTTTGTTAATTGGCAAAATTGAACATGAGCTCACAATGGACACCGTTTCAGCTGCATTTTTAACAATGGCTTTTATCAGGGCGTCAGACGCCCTGGGCAAATTTGCCCCAGTATGATTATACAAGAATATACGGTACACAATTTTATTTATTTTTTTATTTCATGCAACAAAAACATAATAAACAAAATACATTTTATTCAAAGCTACAAAAGCCTCAGTAGGCTTGTCCGCAGCTATAGATAGAGTCCAGTTCAAAAGTCCATTTACAAAAATTCCAGTCAGTTTCTTATCTGGTACAAGCTATTCTCCCAATCTGTTGTATTAAATAGATAAGTTTTCACATTTCATTACCTTTTCTTTCATTGTTTTAACAATAATAGGAAAAACTAAAAAATATAACAAAAATTTTAATACAAGTAAATAAATATTTGAATAAAACAACAAATTACTTAAGTAATTAACAATCCCATGTTTTACCTAAACTATTTAAACAATATTTAACAATAACAACGCATAGAATTATAACTATTAACAAAGATAAATTCTGAAAACTTTAACAACTTATTAAAAATCTTTTTAATTCAGCTTTCAAGGAAGAGTATGACTTAAAATTACTTGAACTCATTGGTAACTCATTAAACAAATATGGCACTAAATAATGTCTAGTTCTCTTAGTATATTTATTTTGTCACGCTAGGCATAACATAAAAGGTTCTCCTAGAATTGTACTTATGAGAGTTTTTTCTTTAAATCTATTAGAGAAATAATAGTCTATAATTAACAAGAACTTGAACAATTTTTCAACTGACAACGTGTTAGTAACCTCAAAACAACAAATAGGATTAGCCCTAACAATAGCACCATCAAGCTTTGCTATAATTTTTAATAATCTGGTTTGGGCCGTCTGTACTTGGAGCATGGTCGTGTGTGCAGCACTTCTCCATGCTTTTAAGCCATATCTAATTATTGACTCGCACATTGAGGAATACAATAATTTCATGGTGTTGTAGGGCAGATATTGTCGTAGATAGTAGAATTTTGCTGCACACACCCTTAGCTTTTTTGTGACTTCTCTTACATGCACATCCCATTTGAAATTATGATCCACTATAATTCCTAAATATTTAAAACTACATACATTGTCTAGGCATCTACATTGACATTTATCTCCTTTGTGAGTTTCAAGATGTAAGCAATTATGAGAGTGAGCTTTTATTTGAGGATTTCTACAGGTAAAAAAGGGTGAATGTATATGCATTATTTTAGATTTTTTCTCGTTTATCTTTAATCCGTTGTCATGACACCATTTGGTTAAATATAAGAAGTCCTCCTGTAATTTTTTCTCTGCCAGTTCTACACTTTTGTCCGAGGTACCTAACCAACACTGTGTCATCAGCATACATATAGATTTTACTGTTTTTCATTACATCTGACATGTTACTCACATATAAAAGGTATACTAAAGGGCCTAAAATGCTTCCTTGGGGCACGCCATATTTCAAGACCTCTGTTTTACTGTATGCCTTATCTACTTTTACAATAATATTTCTATTGCTCATATAATCCATAAACCAATATTTGAAAATTCCTCTTACACCACTTCTCTCTAAAGCATCACTAATTTTGTCATGTTTAAGGGTATCAAATGCCTTAGAAAAATCAATAAAAACTACCAGTACTTGTTTTCCACCACTTAGCTCATTATGTATTTACTAAATCTGAGAAATCTGCCAATAAATCATTTGTTCCTTTTCCTGTTTGATATGCATACTGACAGTTGTTGATGATTTTATTCTCATTTAAAAATCTATTCAAATTATTTGCCACATATCTCTCAATAATCTTATCAACAGAGGATAAAATTGATATCGGACGGTAGTTAGAGTAATTGTAATGACTTCCAGATTTGTAAACTGGTCTTATAATGGCTTTTTTCATATCCTCTGGAATCTTGCCTTTCTTCAAGGAATTATTTGTAAGTTTGACCAAAGTTCCAGCTAACACCTCTGAGTTTATTTTTAAATCAGTAACTTTTATTCCATCTAATCCAGGACCTTTTTTATTCATTGAGTTAAGTATGGCTTTCAGTGTGTTTATATCTATCAAAGGGATGTATAAAGATGATTTAACCTCTGTCTGCTGTGTAGATTGTATAGTTTCAATATTACAGTCATGAACTACTTCATCTATTCCCCGAGTAAAAAGTTTAACAAAATTATTGATTATTTCTTGGGATGTATTCGTTTTTCCTAAGAATTTAATCACAATATTATCTATACTTTCTTTGTGATTTTGTCCTAAAATATTATTTATCTGGGACCATGTTTTTCTGATATTTCTTTTATTAATGGTAAAAATATTGTGATAGAAATTTCTTTTTGCTTTAACAATTTCTTTGTTGATTTTATTTCTCAGAAAAATGAATCCCTCTTTATAATCAACTCTGTTGGGATGTTTCTTATATTTGATAAACAATGCATCTCTATCTTTAATCATGTTTAAAATGTTATGGGTCATCCAAGGTTTTTTAGGTGTTTTATTTTTACTAACTTTTTTATCATACGTACATTCATTATACGCTTTTGTAAAGTAAGAGCAAAACATTCTGTACTGCTCATCAATATAATCTATATTATCTACAGATTGCCAGTCCATCTGCCCTAAGACCTGTCCTAGCTGGTGACCATTGACAGCCTTGTATGTCTTATCAACCAGATAAGCTGGGCAGGAATCGGCAGGCTGGATGTTGATCACACAGGCGTAGTGGTCAGCTATCTTGACTTGAACGATATCTGACTGAGCTTTGGCCTTCCTTATTCTCAAGCATGCATGGTCAATGCAACTCTGACACAGTTTTCCTGCTCTGATTTCTTCTCTTGTAAAGTCATTTAATGTAAGATTTTAAACCATGGCTTGCCAAAACACTCATATATTCCTGGACATCATTCTTTTGTACATTTTTTATATCAATGTTCACGTCACCCATTACTAATAAATTTCCTTTATGATCTTTTATAATGTGGTCCAGCTCTTGTATAAATAATATTTCACTTTTAGATGGTGGTCTGTAGACAGCAATAATATTCAAATCAATATTACATTTTTTAATACTAATTATAGCGCTTTCAAAATGGTTACTATTGCAGGGTTTCTCCCCTACTTTTATATTTTCTTTTACAAAAAAATTAAAATCCATCCTCCCTTCTTTCCTTTCCTTAGATTATGAAACATGCAAAAATTACTTAATCTGAATAAACTAAGCAAGTCCAACAAATCATCCTTAACTAACCTCAGTAAAAATCATAACATCAAAAATATTAACAATACTATTACCAAACATAATACAAAAATTATCCCAATTAATTCTTATGGATCTAATATTTAAATGCAATACAGTAATTCCAGTTTGATATTTGTTCTTTATGCAAAAGTTTAACATCTTTGTGGTTAAAGGTAATATAACGCATATTACATGCACACTAATTTTAACTAGGCAATGTATGTAAACCTGTTAGAATAGTATGCTGTATTTTGCATAAACTAAATTTATGTAATATTTGAAGTCTGAAGATAGCAACAATGTACGGTGTTATGATTTTGTTCTTGTTGTAACTGTATTTATAAAAATTAAGGTACCTTACACATTTTTTTACAATACATTAAAATGTAATATCCTTTGCAACAAATAATGAAAACTATAGATAAAATAAAAACAAAATAACACATACTTGTAAAAGGTTTAATTAAATTTTTTTTTACTGTAATACAAATTCTATTTGGTGTTTGAATGAAAACACAAATAAAAACTAACTAACATCATTGACTATACACAGAATGTTAAACTGTTATAGTCAATGCTAACATTAACTAATGGAATAAGTTATATTTAAACACGTGCTGTAAGTCAGAGTTAATGTATCAACTTTTAAAGCATTAATTTATTTTATAACATACTACTATAATTTTACTAACAAACCTTTTACAACGTTTATAAGATACAATTCAAAACAATTTTAAAGTTTACTTTTTATAGATTAGTCTTTGTAGTGTTTGCAGGATTATTAATAAAATACAACACAAAAGTACGATAATGACAACCAAAAACACACTGGGAGTAAAGTGATTTAAATTGTTTTGGATAGGCAATAAGGCATTGTATGAATGTGTATGCGCGTGCGTGAGACAGACAGGAATAGACAGGATCCCTTATCACCTCATTATCATTTATAGTTGCAGCTGCTTCTGCTTATTGCTTGTTTACGATTTCAGTCGACTACGCTTACCCGCTCCCAATAAATGTAATTTTTGTTAACACCAGACAACCCCAGTTGTTATAAAATGT